GTCGCGCACCTAGAAATGGTGGATGAGTCTCTCAGCGGGCTGCTGTGTACACAAGGTCTCGAACTCGAGACCTTACTTAAACTGGAACAAACCGCTTACCACTTGATCCAACCCCTCGTTGGTATTTAATATGTTAATAATAACTCAAATTCAAGTTATAAGGTTATTATGTTAAAAATTTTTATGGTTAAATTATTTATTTGCCTCCTAAATATTTTTTTATTATCAACATCCTAAACTAATTGTTCTTTCTATTAACATCCTTCACAATTTGAAACCTGCAAAATATCCAAAAATTAACAGTCAAACTCCTAATTTACACCAAAAATTAACGGTTAAGCCTTTTATTTACGCCATGACTTTTTTTGGTAATTTGAAATTTTTTATGTATTTTAAATTATTCTGATATATATAATTGAGCTTAAAGACTTAAAAATAATTAATGGATGAAGCTCAAGCTCCTCATTTTTAAACTCATGGTGTTTACAAAGTTTTGCTGCTTATATTTTTTTAAGATCTGCGGATAAAAAAAAATATATAGTCCTTTTTGAAATTTACATTCCATTTCAAATATTGTCAATTAAGGTGATGTTAAATTAGATAAAGTCTTGTTATGCTCTATTGGTATTGCACAAAGTATATGGACTATTTAATTAACAGTAACATTATTGCTTAGCACTAAAGCGTGTGGAAGATACTAGAACATAAGGTTGAAAGTCAAGATTCATAGAAAACAATTGAAAGCAAAGGAAATGGAAAATGGAAATTTCATGTAGGCGTATGCAATTGGATGTGGAAAACGCATGTCAAGTATCTATTTTACAAAAATTAATAACTCCATAATAAAAAAGAAAGATAAAGAAATTTCAAAGTGAAGAAAAAAATTATAGTAACCATATCCAATGGGGTGAAAAAATGCACGTTAGGTCTCATCTAATGGAGATATAGGAGAAGTAAGTGGTAAAAAAAATTAGTGGATGAAGCTAAGCTCCTCTAATGTTTAAATCGGTGTTCACATGGTTTGCTGCTTAAACCTTTTTGAAATTTGCAGACAAAAAGAGAAAAAATTATGAAATTTACATTCTATCTCATATATTTTTAAATTATGCAATATTTTTTTTTATCAGCAAATAAATTTATTATTATTTTAAGGAGCACAAGGGGTGCTTCAACCCATATACATGAAACTAATAACTCATACAAGAAAATCAAACAAAATCAGCAGCCAAGTGTCCATTCACATCACCCCGTGAGTCTGCTTATAGAACATCTTCAATAGCCTCTTATGTCTTTTGACTTCTATAGCAACTTGCAATGGGTTATTCTGCCACTCGGAAAAAGAAAAAACACACCCTTTCATCTTAATCTTAAT